TACTTCTAAGGTGACCATAGTGATATTCAGCAATGAGGTATGTAGCACTTTTTCTAGGATGAGTTTGTAAACTTAATTGTCAGACCTCGCATGTGTGTGTGTGTGTGTGTGTGTGTGTGTGTGTGTGCCTGTGTGTCTGTGTGTGTGTGTGTGTTTCTGTGTTTCTGTGTGTGTGTCCCAATAATGTCTGATGTTGCTTATCTTAAGAAAACTATAAGGAGTAGACCTTAAAGTTTTTCTCTTTTTTTTTTCTTTAAAATCCCCGGAGTTTAAAAATGATGTAAGTTCTGGTCAAATGCTTTCACTTAAAAACAGTTTAAAGAAATATTTAAAGCTGCCTTAGGTGCTTTTCCACGTAATCCATGTATCTTAAACATGTCTGGAAAAGAGTAAGAGGCAAGGGAGTTTAGGGAATGAAAGGGTGGGTGTGAAGCTTTCACCTTCAGGGCTACAAGCCTCAGATGCTCAAGAATTCCTAAGGCTGGGATGAACGTCTGGAGAAGAGAAGGAGAGGGACCTGGGAAAGAGGAGTTTAGGAGGAGGCTGGGGTTGAGGAGGCTTAGAAACAGGACAGGGGCAGAGCGAGGAAGATAGTAGAGGGAAATGAGGCAGTGGGAAGAGAGAGGGTGGAGAGCTGCTGAACACACCTAGTACCTTCCTCCACACCAGCCTGAGCACCTAGAAGGAAGGTGACCTGAAGATATTTGGAAAGGTTTTTTACATCCAGGATCAAAGTGTTTCTTTTTTTCTTTTTTAAAAAATTAAGCCTTAATTAATTAGAAATTTTAATGAACTTGAATATCCATTCTTTAGCAGTGTTTTTTTTTTTTAAATTGGGGAATTGGGGGAGGGGAACAGTGTTGGGGAATTGGGGAGGGGGACCAGCCAAGTTGTGGTTCTTCAATCTTAGTTATGGAGGGCACCAGTCGCCATCTGGCTGCCCGTCGGCAGCTCGTGGTCTCTAAGCACAAAGTGCTGTGTTACAATCTTAGTTGTGGGTGGGCATAGCCACCATCCCATGCAGTAGTTGAACCCGGCAGCCTTATTGTTAAGAGCCACATGCTCTATCCACTGAGCCATCCGGGTGGCAGCTCAGCTCAAGGTGCCAAGTTCAGTCTTTTGTTGCGGGTGGGCATAGCCCACCATTGAACAGGCAGTCTTGTTGTTAGGAGCATGTACTCTCACCAGCTGAGCCATCCTGCCACCTGCTGGCAGCTCAGCTTGGTTGCAGCATTACTGGCCCATGTGCGAATCGAACCGGTGGCCCTGTTGCTCAGAGCTCATGCTCTTAAGCTAAATCCTAACCAGCTGAGCCACTCAGCCAGCCTTTTTGTTTGTTTTTGAATTGGGCTGCTTAGAGGCTGGATTCGGGCCTGGATGTAGATACAGAGTAGGGGCTTGAATGGGTTTTTAGCAGTTCTGTGAATGGGTTGGCAAGACTGATTTTTCAAGGGTACATTGAGTTCTAGTTATTTCTCCAGTCCCTTTCTCAAAAATGGTCAGATCAGTGGCTCTGAAACTTCAGTGTGCATCAATATCACCTGGAGTGTGTGTGTTAAAACAGATTCCTGGTCCCCGACCCCAGAAATTTTGATCCAGTAGGTTTGGGATCTTCCAGATATTTAATATTTTTAATATTTCCCAGGTGGCATGGTCCAGGGACCACACTTTGAGAACCACTGACCTAGATCTAAAACGCACACAATATCAGGTTTGGAATGTTTCCTAAAATTAGACTAGTGACCCAGAGTCTTGAATTGGAAAAAATCTAGATGCTTCTGCTTGTGGAGCTTTTGAAAATGCAACTGACAACATCCAAAGCATAATAAAAACACAAGCGTCTACACATTTCTGAGTTCTGGTACAAACAAAAGAAAACACTTCCAAACAAATTCTTCTCGACATATCAGCAACTGTACATTCCAGAGGTACCTACTTACTTCGGGTGTTTTCCGGGGCAGTTTATCAGATAATTGTCTTCAAAGCAAGAGAATGTGCTTGCAAAAGCCTCTGGTTAATCTCTTTTTGAAGGACAGATATTGGCTGGCTTTTTATTATCTCTAGGAGCAGTTTTAAAGGCTTGGCTGATGGGACACAAGAGAGGTCGTTTGGGCATGATCCTAGGAGAGAGTTGGAGGAAGAATGACACGCACCTTGCAGGATGGGGTCAAGACTCGGTACTTACACTCTTGACTAGTAGAGAGAAGCCCAAGGCAGACTCCAGCCCCACTGTCTTCCATTAACCTCCTTTAACTATCTGAATGACACACAAGGTCAGTCTGGCCTCAGCCTCCCCTAGTTTCTGAGCAATGTTTGGCAGAGCTCTCAGGTTCCATGGAGTTGTTTGAAAGGGCTCTGAGGAAAGAGGGTTGCTGGGAGGATGGGGTGCCTGTTCCCCTCATCACATCCTTCAAGAGGAGCACCACTGCTTTGCCTCTATACATTGGCTCCCTGGAGATATTTTGTTTGAAGATATTTGTGGTTTAAAAAAGTTTGAAGACCAATGATCTCTAGGGTCCCTTTCATTAGTAAAATTCAGAGTGTATGATCCCTTTGTGGATAAATTATGAATGAATTTTAGGTAAAAATTAAAAATTTTGAGAATTCTCTGCCCCACCCCATCCATCCTCAGCAGTCTTAAAAGGGCACTAAGGGGTAGAAGAGGGTTGAAAAACATCTAGAAGGACTCAAGGCTTCACCTAACACTCCCTCTGCCCCAGAGTTAACTATGCCCCCTTTAAGGGGTGTCCCATCCCCAGGGTTGAAAATCACTTCCACAAAGAACCACTGTACCTGAAGGGAATGGGGCTGCATCTCTAAATGCTTTGATTTTCCTTCCCATCAGTGTGGTCCTGGTAGGACTGTCAGTCAAGTTGATGGTCTTGTGACCTGTTGGCCAATCACAGCTCTCTCTCTCAGAAACATGACTCCTGGGGCACAGAGATGAATTCATTTGGAGCTGGATCATTCGAGGGCAGTGCCATTTACTCCTGCTGCTTAGATTCCTGGTGTCTGTCCTTCCTGAGGGATGGCTGTTTTTCCTTTGAGGTCTATAAGTTACCCTTCCCCATTGCTGGAAAGACACCCAGGCTTTCTTTTCACCATCATTCTTCTCACTAAGGGGCTTCACCAGGCTTATGTGATAATTCTAGGTAATTCAGAAAGCCAGGTACCAGGACCACCAAGGGGCCTGCCCCACTTCTCCTGGGGAGTTAATTAATGTCTTATTTGCACAAGGGCAAATAAAGTTCCCATATCCCAGGGTTGGGCAACGTGCGTCTTCTGAAAGCAAAACAATGCTGTTGAGTTTTCGTTGGACTCTGTGTAACTGTCCCTGTGACACAGCATCTGAGGACCCATCGTTAAGCCCCCAGAATTGTAAACTCCTAAAGGCATAGCTCATCTGAAGTCAGCAATAGATTAATTCATTATCAAAAGAATGAGCCCAGAAGCCAAACACCCACAGTTAGATTTCACATTAACTTAGTTCAGACAATCCAGAGCCCTGTACCTGGAAACATGTGATACTTTTTGTAATTTGGTTCATTCATTTACTTCAAAAAAACAAAACCTTCAGTCCATGTGTGTACCTCTCAAAGGGTACAGTTTTCCCACATGCTCTTGCTTCTCCCAGTGGGCAGCAGAAGCCCAGCTCCAGGGCTGAGAAAGCAGGCAGGAGAGTCCAGGGGCCACGCGTGAGGAGCCAGCTCTGGGTTTCGGGATCCTTCTTTCCTTCTGTGTGAAGGTTCCCTCCCTCATCACCGAGTGTTGGTGTCTCTGGTACCCATGAAAGGATTTCAGAGAAAAGAATCTTCAGAGGAGAGGATTTGGTAACTGGAAATTCGAGTGTAGAGAGGCTGGGGGATTCACCAGGGAGCAGAAACCTGGAGGGGACACTTAGGAAGAATGAAATGCTTCACTGTGCCTAAAATTAATCCTGTAGAGCTGCACTGTCCAGTGCAGGAGCCTGTTGCTAACATCTATCATGGTTTTTTTTTAACAAGTCATTAATCAGTACAAAATCACTTAGCAAGGCCTCAGGTAGGTGTGCATGGCAGAGGTGTCTCGGGAGAGTGGCAGCCTTGAGGAACCCAAATAAGGCTCACCTGTACTATGGCACTGGACCACTCAAGTATTCTAGTCAATTCCAGTCATCACAGCACTATCTTATTAAGAGTGCAAATAGCTCTTCAACCTCTTTGGTTCATCCAAACAAGATCCATGAGAGAAAACGATGAATTATCAAAGAGTTTGATGAAAGCTTTCAACCTTCTGTCATAAATGTCATTTCCAACTTTAAAGGAACCAATGCTATTCACCACAGCAATCATTTTAAAAAAATGACTCTTTGTTTTAAAGAGTCATAGTCTAAGGGTAAGAGACAACAGTCGTTGGGAGAAAACTAGTAAAATAAAATTTTCAGTGTTAAGCGAAAGCTATTTCTTAGTCCTGGAAAGTCAACTCATCAATAATGAGATATAGAACAAATGTAGATGTAACTTAAAACTTAAGGTTAGTGGTATATAAATAGACTCTCACTTTGTTCCTGATCTTTCTAGATCAAGGTTTCTCAACCCTGGCACTATGACATTTTGATTAGAGAGTTCTTTGTTGGGTGGGGCTTTCCTGTGTATTGTAGGATCTTTAGTAGCACCCCTGGCCTCTGCCCACTAGATGCCAGTAGTAACTAACACCCCACCACTCAAATGGTGACAATTAAAAATACCTCCAGATATTACCTAATAATGTCCCTCGGGGGTAAAATCATTCCCCATTGAGAACTACTATTCTTGACCAGGTCCAATGTGCTAGCTAACCTTGGACCTGCCTTGCTAGAAATGCAGAGTCTTAGAACCCCCCTCTGCAGACCGATTGAACAACACTGCATTTATTAAAGCCCCAGGTGATCCATGGGCACATACACCCAGTGATTCACACCTATGCCAGATGTCTCCACTGTGAGCCCCACAGAGTCCTGTGTCAACTCTTTCTCGTTGCAGGAAGCTGATGAAGCTTTACTGCGTAACCTGCACCTTCAGATCAAAGTCCAGTTTCTGCAGGATGATATCAGTGCAACAAAGGACAGGTACAAAAAGGTAACCGCAACCCTTCTGAAGACCTTCCCCCAGATAACCCAGTTTGGGTTTGGCCAGATAAGTCCGGGGCACTTGCGGCTGAAAAGTGAAACTGCTAGGGTGGGTGCATTGCCCCTGAACCCAGTGAGTGATGGGTTGGTTGCTGGACAGCTCTTAGTGAGCCAAACATACAAGAGGAGGCAATAATAGTGTGTGTGTGTNGTGCTCCATGACACGCTGAGCATGTCTTTGTGACTGAGCTGCTGCCGCCCTTACTGGACTGTGGGCTCCTAGAAGGAAGACCATGTCTTGTTTTCTGACATCCAGGCTGGTGCTGAACAGCACTTGACGCATATCAGTTACATCTCCTTAGCCCCCTTTGAGCTGGTGAAAGTGGGGCCCTTATTACTTTTCCTGAATACCTCTCCTTATGATGAATAGTTTGTATTATTGAGCTATAAAGACCACATTGATGTGGACATAAATCCACATTGGGATTAATCCATTCCTGGATGGCTTCTTGTCTCAGCACAGGTGTCAGTTTTATAAACCTGGTCAGCACTTCACTGGATGCTGTGGAATCTTGGTCGACTCATGCAGGACCATGCAGAGCACTAGTGCCAGTCACAGGTTGGAAGGCACCTTCAAGCCATCCACAAAGCCTCCCTCCCAGGGCAGGCGATCCTCCAACAGACTCCATTGAAGGACAGCTACCAACCAACCAACCACCAGCTTATGAAATATAAGAAAGATTGTCCTTGCCCCAATGGTCCAAAGATTATAAATGACATATTTCTGACTTCCCAATTTGTAACAACTCTTTGCTATCCTATTTACGATTTAAAAATTTGCTAAGTGAATAGGCTCAGGGAGGGGTCTCATGGTGGGGAAAACTGAATCCCCTGTGTCTTCAGTGAGAATGGGTTGGTGCTGCTCGCCTGAGGATCTGTGGAAATGGGGAACTTTTCTGTGTGTGTATGCGCGCACTTCCTTGCAGCTGAAAGGAGGCTGAGGCAGGAGGGTCTGTTGTTTCTGGAAGTGTCTCAGAGCCGGTACAGGTGGGTCTGAATCCTGCTGTCGTACTTATTGGCAAGTCACTGCTTGTGTGCCTCAGTGTCCTCATCTGTGAAGTGGGAATAATAGCAGCACTTCCCCTGTAAGGTGGTTGTGAGGCTGGTGAGTTGATCCATGGCGGAAGTCTCCAGCACAGCCATTATTCCCACTCTGGGCTGGGAAACCTGTACCTGAAGGGGATGATAGAGTCTCTTCATATACAATCTTTTTTTTACTCTTTATTCTGAAACACTTTAAACATATAAAAGAGAATAGCCTCATGAGCCCCCATGTAATTCTGAAGAAATGCCGGACACCATGTCATCTTATGCATCAATATTTCAAAATGTATCTCTAGAAGATGAGGGTTATTTTATATATTTTAAAAGATTTTTATTGGGGAATTAGGGGATGGGAACAGTGCTGGGGAATTGGGGGAAGGGGAACAGACAAGTTGCTCTCCTTTTTTGGTCTTCAGTCTAGTTGTAGAGGANCCAGTTGGAAACAGGTGACTGCTCTGCAGAGTGTGGAAAGGCTGAGGGAGGATCTCCTTCCAGGACGTTCCGCGGAGCGTTGATAGGCGGCACAGCTGCCTCACCAGGGCCCCGGCTGCCCTCGTGCCCCTTGGCTCCTGCTTTGTGCAGCAGCGACATCTTAGCACAGTTGGTGGCTTGGGGTTCTGCACAGACACAGGGAATAGAGCCCAGTGAGAGACTGTGTTCTGAGTTTTCCTTTTGACAGAAGGGAAGGTGCCTTGTCCAGAGTTCATGGCACAACCAGCTCTAAAATACGGGTCTCCTGACACTGTCTCCACGCTTTATAGTCACGACATTTATGGTTCAGGCTTTGAAGACAAAGTGAGAAAGCATTAACAGTGGCCACTGTGTGCCTATCTTTCTTAGCTCGTCTGCTATAAATAACTTCCACAGCCTGGGTAGTTCAAACAACAGACATGTATTTCCCACAGTTCTGGAGGTTGCAAGTCCACGATCGGGGTGCCGACAGATTCAGTTCCTAGTGCGAACCTGCCCCCTGGCTTGTAGATAGCTGCCTTCCCACAGTGTCCTCATGTGGCCTTTCCTTGGTGCAGCGCACACACACACACACACACACACACACTTCTGGTGTCTCTTTATTTCCTTATAAGGACACTAATCCCATTCTGGGGGCTCCACTCTTATGACCTCATCTATCCTAATTACCTCCCAAAGGGCCCCCCTTCAAATACTATCCCATTGGGGGTTAGGGCTTCAGCATATGAATTTGGGGGTGGAGACACATCAACGTGCAGAGCATAACAGGGCCCACACCTTCCTGACTCCTTTCCTCTTTGTGTTTCCTCGCATGTTAAGTGTGCGTGAGTGCTGAGTGTGGCCTTCTTTGTGCAGGAGAAACTCCAGACAGAACAGGAGGCAGCCGCCCTGAAACATCAGCTGGAGGAGGGCCAGGAGGTACTGTCTGTCCTGCAGGCTCAGAGAGCCGAGCTGCAGGCCCAGGTAGGCCCCGAACGCTCATGTCTACCGCTCACTGTTGGACATTCAGCCACATGTGTGAATCAGGGTTTACAACATTTATTCAGTGTCAGGTGCATGTAGAAAAGTGCACATGTATCCAATACAGTGTGTCCACGGCTCAGGGCCAAAAACAACACTCTGAGTAGGGTGACCAGCTGTCCTGCTTTTCGCTGGACTGAGGGGTTTCCCAGGATGCAGACTAGAAAAGTCCTGGGTAAATGGAGACAGTGTGTTACACTAATTCTCAGCTCCTCAGAGGGTCCTCTTGCGCCCTCTCTCCCACCAAGGGTAAGGGTGTCTGCATAATCTATCCATTTTTATCCAGTTTAAACTTGTTTTTAAAAATAAGAAATGGACTCATGTTGGGATTTTTAACCTATATTTCCTCAAATCTATACTTCCTGTTTCTTCACTCATGACCTAAAATCTCTCTTTGGAATCTGATTACAAACCTGGGGGAGAGTAGATGTGTCAGTATCTGCTCTGCTCCAAATTTGTTAGAGGAAGGCTCACAATTTCATATACCTCGACCCCCTTTTTGGGAGTGAATCTTATTTTGAAAACTAATCTCAACAGAAAAGCTCAATCCTGTTTCCATGGTATGACATTTTGGTGACTTGGTAATGTGTGGTCTCCTCTGAAGTCCTGAAAGGATAGAGGGAAGGGATGTGCGTATGAGTGTGTGTGTGTGTGTGTGTGTGTGTGTGTGTGTGTGTNGGGGAGGTGTTAGGAACTAATAATTCTATAGTACATCACAGTTCACAAAGTGATTTTACATAGACCCGTCTTGATTAAGGTACAACCTGGCAGTTGTGTCAGCTCAGAAATTGAAGAAATACAGAAAATGCAAAGTGTATGTACTTTTTTAACTTTACCTCTGAGCCAGTACAATGAGGGAATACATGGCATTTAGGACCCTCTGCTCATGTAACGGTTTTCTCTGACCCCCACTCCTGCCAGCTTCTCACAGGCCTGACTCTTGGGGGCCTTGGTACTGGAAAAATCAAATCCCAGAGCTGTGTGATCATGGCCGAGTGGACTAACCTCTCTGAACTTCTTCATTTTCAAAATGCAAATACCAGACTGATTGTCCACAGAGCTGTGTGGTTAACTGAATGTAGCAGACCTGTGGCCATGATTCTTAGGGCTGATCTGTCCAGGGGGCTCTGGCCTCCCTCCAACTGCCAGTACCTGCAGCTCTGCCTCAGGACTTTCTCCAGGCAGCAGAGGGCTGCTCCTCCTCACAGGAAGTGTTGGGGAATTAATACCCCAGGAGCAGCCTCAGCCAGTGACTGACGCAAGGTGGTGGATACATCACCCAGCTCCCTCTCGCCTGCTATTCTGCACTGGCTCCCTACTGGGACTAAACTGGTGCCCACAGTGGTAATACACCCCTTATTGGCTGCCTTCCTTCCCTGTCTCACCTCCCCCACTCCACTACTCACGTTTCTTGGCATCTTTGTCCAACTAAACTATTTGCACTTGGATCCTTCTCTCAGGGTTTATACTTAGTCAGCTCGGGCTGCTATAACAAAGTACCACAGACTGGTCAGGTTCCGGCAAGGCCCTCTTCCTGGCTTGCAGATGGCCACCTTCTCCATGTGTGCTCGTCTGGCCTTTCCTAGGAGCATGTGCTTGGAGAGAGAGCGAGCTCTCTGGTGCTTCTTCTTATAAGGGCACTAATTACGCAGGGCTTCATCATAGGGCCCCACCCTCACGACCACATCTAAATTTAATTATTTCTCAAAGGCCCCACTTGCCTAACCCACTGGGGGTTAGGGCTTCAACATGTGAATTTGGGACACAATATTCAATGTGTTAACATAATAAATAGTCTGCTTTTGGGAACCCAAACTGAGGCAATGTGATAATACAGGAAAGCACCTGGTACAACCTGGAGCTTGGCGAATGCTCAGCAAGCATTAGATTTTCTTCTTGCCTTAGAGTGTACCTGCTTCAGTATGAAGGTGGCCCTGTTGCTTTGCACTGAAGGGATATTCTCCCTCCCTTTTGCTTCCTCCAACTTTCCATCAGGCCTGGTCTGGTTCTTCCTCTCCTGCCTTTCTGCCTCTGTTGTACTTTTCTGGAATCATGGGAGCAGTGCCTGGGGGCAGTTTCTGAGCAGCTCAAAATATTCTTCAGGGCCATTTTTAATAAAGATAAGAAAATCATCATCATCATCATCATCGTCATCGTCATCGTCATCACTTATACTGTGATGCTGTCGTGCATTATCTCATTGGATCCCAGCAACAGCCTCATGAGACAATGACTTATGTCAGGTTCCCCATCAGCAGAGACGGAGGTGATGATTTTTATGCGATTGCTGTGTGGGTGGAGAGCACTCAGGAGAAGGGAAGGGAGGAAGGGAAGCGAGACAGCACAGGGCAGGGGCCTGGGCTCAGCTGGAGCCTCAGCCTGATCTCACCGCAGGGGTAGGGACTCTGGAGTGTGAGTCACACCGCAAGGTTGTTCCTGCCTTGAGGCAAGAAGTAGGTCTTTTGTACTTCTGTGCCAGTGAGTCCCTGGCCTGGGTTGGGGATGAGGCAGGATTTGGGGGGAGTTGTATAGCTTCCTACACATGATGACCATTGTCTGGCCAAGGGCAGTTCTCTTTAGAGGGCGCAGCTGTGCAACGTTATCAGTCCTCATGCACAGAGCTGGACACAGGTGCTGTTCAGATTGTTATTCTGCTTGTACAGAAGAGCCTGAGTTTTAGGAGGTATAAATAGCTTGCTTGAGGCGTCACGCAGCTCGTAAGTGAGTAAATCCGTGACCGACTGACCAAATTCTATCCTTTGAAGCACTGCCCTGTTCTGGGGTCAGAAAAAGTCCTTTGTACCCGCTGGGGCTCCTTTGTCCTCCATCTCTGCTTTTCTCTCATACCCCTGCCATCCATGTAACTGAAGGGAAATGTCAAAATAAATCAAACCTCGTTTATTTGTCTGCCTCATTGTTCTTGTGAAGATTAAAGATACAATGTATCCTCTGCACAGGTCACACCTGTCCTATCTGTGACAATGGAACATGTGAGAGCATTCCTATCTGGGGTCACCTTGTCCTGGAGGCAGAAACTCGGGCAGTTCAGGTTTCAATGAGAATGCTTTCTTTCCTCCAACAGAATCTTCTGGAAATTCAGACCTATGTCAGCATCCTGCAGCACATCCAGACCACGCCTCAAACATCTGCCATTACAAGTGGGATGAGGGAGGTAAGAGTTGGAGTCCAGGCTGCAGGGAAAGCATATCTGAAGGCTGTTCTTACAGCCCTGTGGGCATGGTTAACAGACACCAGGGAAAGGCATCAGGCCAGGCTGTGTGGAGCTGCGGTGGGTTAACTCCTCCGCACTCCGACTTCACTATCACGTTAAAGTTTACTCTTCTGTTCTTTTTTTTTTTAAAAGTATTTTGTTGGGGAATTGGGGAGGGGAACAGTGTTAGGGAGTTGGGGAAAGGGAACATTATGTTTTTCCAGGACCCATCGGCTCCAAGTCAAGTTGTCCTTAAATCTTAGTTGTGTAGTTGTGGAGGGTGTAAGCTCAGCTCCAAGTTCAGTTGCCACTTTCAACCCAGTTGTGGGGGGCGTAGTCCACCATCCCATGTGGGAGTTGAACTGGCAACCTTGTAGTTATGAGCACGCGTTCTCACCAGCTCAGCGGCAGCTCAGCTCACTGGCCCATGTGGGAATCAAACTGGCAACCCTGTTGCTCAGAGCTCACGCTCTAACCAGCTGAGCCACTCAGCTGGCCCCTGAACACTGTTCTTTAGACATCTGACCATTTTTGTAGGTGTTTCCTCTTGAGAATCATGGGTTGTTCTTCCTTGTATAGTTTACAAGAAACTGCCAGACTGTTTCCCAAAGTGGTGTATCGGTGTTGCATCCCCACCAGCAATGGATGGTAGTTTCTGTGGCTTTGCGTCCTTGCCAACACTGGGAAGTCGAGTATTTATTTGTTTTTGCTTGTTCTAATAGGTATGCTGTGCACCTCTCTGTGGTTTTTTTAGATTTTTATTGGGGAATTGGGGATGGGAACAGCGCTGGGGAATTGGGGGAATGGGAACAGACAAGTTGCTGTCCTTTTGTTCTTCAGTGTAGTTGTGGAGGACGTTGCTTCACTGGCCCAAGTTGGCACCATCATTGCGCTCTTCCCGGGCGAGGCACATCAGTCGCTGGTTTCTGGATGGCCACTCACAGCGGCTGCTGGCCACTCACTGCGGCTGCTGGATACTCACAGTAGCCCATGGCAACCCACTGCAGCAGGGGCCGCAGCTATGCTGTTGCCAGCGACTCACGGCAGCCCAGCTCCAGGTTGAGCTGTTGTTCAGCATCTTAGCTGTGGAGGGCAGTGTCACTGGCCCTCATATGTGGGATCCGAACCGGGGCCCTCTGGTGTCCCAAGCCAGCTCTTAACCAATGCGCCACTCAGCCGGCCCACCCCTCTGTGGTTTTAACTGCACCACCTAATGACTAATGATGTTGAACGTCTTTCCATGTGCTTATTTGCCAATCATATATCTTTGTTGGAATATCTGCTCACGTCTTTTGCTCATTTTTAAAATTGGGTTGTTTGTTTTCTTATCCCTCTTAGCAGTTTGGCCATAGGTTTTGACTAAAGAGAGCCTCAGATAATTAGTCCTATATTTTCAAGGTCGGGCTCTGCTAATGATTATGTAAATTGGTGGCATGAAAACTATTGGGAAAGGATAGAGATTATTGAAGCTGACTTTTTAAAAATGAGGATTTGGATGTAAAACATTATTTCCAATATAATGTTCCACATTAATTCTGTCTTCACTTGGCTCTCTAGCTGCTCAACAGGTTATCAATGTATTGTTTTTTCTAATGTGCTTCATGAGATTTTGTGATACACTGAAACATACACTGAAAAGGATGCAGATTAAATAAAAAATGTCGGACTGGCCGAGTGGCGCGTTGGTTAGGAGTTGGCTTGGGCTGCCAGCTCTGAGCAGCAGGGCCCCGGT